TTGCCGAGTACAGCTGTCTTCGGGTATGGTAGTTCTTCTTAATCTATTAAATTTGTAAATGAATGGGAAAAGCGAGCGACCGATTTCATTCTCGGTATCATTTTGCATTTGAAAACGGTCAATCAAATTAATATTATTTCCTTTTGTTCGGGAAAGAGAGACACTGGCAGCGGTCCACTCTACCCATGATTATGGGTTTTGGTCAAATATCATCGCTTTTTGATTAATGTCAGGGTACTTTATAAAGTCGAAATATAAACTGATATCTTCATTAATAAGGAGGAAGTTTCAACGATTTCGAAATTTTTCCTTTGAAAACATTTCCTTGTGTTTGGGTAAGTACATCGGTCGATCACTGACTGAATTTGTCACTTTATACTCATTCAAGTTGGCATTAAATTTATATATAATGACATTGAACTGTCGTGGTAAAGCAGAATTTGTTCGAAATCACGAATGAGCAAAATTATCACCTTTCGCACGTGCAAACTATGAGCGGACGTTGCGTGCGCATCCAATATTGAATCGCAGTAAATTTTTTCGTGTTGGTGTTTTATATATAGTTTGATAAGCATGCAAAGTTTCAAAGTATTTCAAGAAGAACTGTAATCACAACGGCACACCAACGTTCACAGAAAATGGTAAAAACAGCAATTTTCAGTGATTTTAGCAATTTTTAATCAATTTGGGCGTGTCCCCACGTGTGCAACTTTTAGATTTTTAACTTTAAAACTAGCCTAATACACAATTTATACCTATAGGAAGCAGAACTGAGCTCCACAACCCAAGGGATAGCCCAACACCAGAGAATACTAAATCGCAAAATTGACGTTTTTATAAAATAATTCTTCAAAAAAGCACTAACTTCAATGGCAAATAACTTTATGAAGGAGCAAGGTAGGGAAACTTTCCGGTAGATTTTCAGAATGCTTGAACAATTACCTATCTAATATGAAAATGTCCTCAGATTTTAAATAAAATTACTCCTTAATGGTGTAAAATCAGTTTGAAAAGTTGTTATTTTGTCAAAAATCAAGTTTTAAAAACACTTAATTTGATGACGTCATCAAGTGGTGATGATGACGTTAAATTATTTTTTGATATAATTGAAACTGAAGTGTAAACAATTATCTTTAAGACCTGTGGTCGGAAATTGCTGTATCTTTTATACTTTTGAATCTCCGGACACTTAAATTCAGGCTACAATTGACTTCATTTGACTGGCAAAGCGTCTATCCCTGAATATATATTATATATATATGTATCACGACAATCTATCGTAAAACAGGGGTTCCAGAAAACCCATTTCCCGATACTTCTGAAACACGACATTTTTTTTACAGTCGATTTGGTCGACGTCTAGACGCCCTGCAAAGTTTCAGATCTCTAACTCAATTTTAACATGGCTTTTAAGGCACCTGAATATGGCAATTTTGGGTTTTTTACCGAATTTCGTTTAACATGCTGGCGCGTATTTTGCGCAAATTTCTTAAAAACCTCCACATAACTATTTCTTGTTCCTGTCATCTTTAACATTGAATTAGAATGATTTGAACTTAAATATACCTGCTGAACTACTTTCGATGAGTCTTAATGCCCGAAAAACAATAAAGGGTTATAAAAGTAAAGGGGGTAAATAGTAAAGGGGTAAATAGTAAAGGGGGTAAATAGTATTGTGAATATAAGAGGCACGGTCATGCTTGCCAGCATTGTGACACGAAAGTGTGTATTTCCTTATTTTGTTTTTGCCATTATTTTAAGCGACCCATGTAATGCTCATTTATGCTGCTGTTAATGTTGTTGTACTTATCCAATAAGCTTGTATATTTATAAATGTTATTCCATAGAATCTAGTGTGTGTAAAGTTTACCAATAAAGCAATAAGTATTAAAAGTACTAGAAGTTTAGAATTAGTGTTTACCGTTTAGTTAGTTCATTAAGTTAATTAAGTTAATTAATTAACTTAATTAACTTACTTACTTACTTACTTACTTAACTTACTTAACTTACTTTACTTACTTTACTTACTTTACTTACTTTACTTACTTTACTTACTTTACTTACTTTACTTACTTTACTTACTTTACTTACTTTACTTACTTTACTTACTTTACTTACTTTACTTACTTTACTTACTTTACTTACTTTACTTACTTTACTTACTTTACTTACTTTACTTACTTTACTTACTTTACTTACTTTACTTACTTTACTTACTTTACTTACTTTACTTACTTTACTTACTTTACTTACTTTACTTACTTTACTTACTTTACTTACTTTACTTACTTTACTTACTTTACTTACTTTACTTACTTTACTTACTTTACTTACTTTACTTACTTTACTTACTTTACTTACTTTACTTACTTTACTTACTTTACTTACTTTACTTACTTTACTTACTTTACTTACTTTACTTACTTTACTTACTTTACTTACTTTACTTACTTTACTTACTTTACTTACTTTACTTACTTTACTTACTTTACTTACTTTACTTACTTTACTTACTTTACTTACTTTACTTACTTTACTTACTTTACTTACTTTACTTACTTTACTTACTTTACTTACTTTACTTACTTTACTTACTTTACTTACTTTACTTACTTTACTTACTTTACTTACTTTACTTACTTTACTTACTTTACTTACTTTACTTACTTTACTTACTTTACTTACTTTACTTACTTTACTTACTTTACTTACTTTACTTACTTTACTTACTTTACTTACTTTACTTACTTTACTTACTTTACTTACTTTACTTACTTTACTTACTTTACTTACTTTACTTACTTTACTTACTTTACTTACTTTACTTACTTTACTTACTTTACTTACTTTACTTACTTTACTTACTTTACTTACTTTACTTACTTTACTTACTTTACTTACTTTACTTACTTTACTTACTTTACTTACTTTACTTACTTTACTTACTTTACTTACTTTACTTACTTTACTTACAAGATGTTGCGTATGGTGCTGGGTATCTCATGGAAGGACAAGGTCAGCAATATAACTTTGTATGGTAGCCTCCCAAGGCTGTCAAACAAGTTACGAAGCAGGAGATTAAAAATGGGACAGGGATATATGGAGGGGGTTTTCTGGCGTAGATCGGACTTAGCTCCGACATAGTAGTAGTACTTTACTTACTTTACTTACTTTACTTACTTTACTTACTTTACTTACTTTACTTACTTTACTTACTTTACTTACTTTACTTACTTTACTTACTTTACTTACTTTACTTACTTTACTTACTTTACTTACTTTACTTACTTTACTTACTTTACTTACTTTACTTACTTTACTTACTTTACTTACTTTACTTACTTTACTTACTTTACTTACTTTACTTACTTTACTTACTTTACTTACTTTACTTACTTTACTTACTTTACTTACTTTACTTACTTTACTTACTTTACTTACTTTACTTACTTTACTTACTTTACTTACTTTACTTACTTTACTTACTTTACTTACTTTACTTACTTTACTTACTTTACTTACTTTACTTACTTTACTTACTTTACTTACTTTACTTACTTTACTTACTTTACTTACTTTACTTACTTTACTTACTTTACTTACTTTACTTACTTTACTTACTTTACTTACTTTACTTACTTTACTTACTTTACTTACTTTACTTACTTTACTTACTTTACTTACTTTACTTACTTTACTTACTTTACTTACTTTACTTACTTTACTTACTTTACTTACTTTACTTACTTTACTTACTTTACTTACTTTACTTACTTTACTTACTTTACTTACTTTACTTACTTTACTTACTTTACTTACTTTACTTACTTTACTTACTTTACTTACTTTACTTACTTTACTTACTTTACTTACTTTACTTACTTTACTTACTTTACTTACTTTACTTACTTTACTTACTTTACTTACTTTACTTACTTTACTTACTTTACTTACTTTACTTACTTTACTTACTTTACTTACTTTACTTATTTTACTTACTTTACTTAATTAACTAAATTTACTTACTTTACTTAATTAACTTAATTAACTTAATTAATATTATTTAATAAGTTATAATAAGTTATAATAAGTTATAATAAGTTATAATAAGTTATAATAAGTTATAATAAGTTATAATAAGTTATAATAAGTTATAATAAGTTATAATAAGTTATAATAAGTTATAATAAGTTATAATAAGTTATAATAAGTTATAATAAGTTATAATAAGTTATAATAAGTTATAATAAGTTATAATAAGTTATAATAAGTTATAATAAGTTATAATAAGTTATAATAAGTTATAATAAGTTATAATAAGTTATAATAAGTTATAATAAGTTATAATAAGTTATAATAAGTTATAATAAGTTATAATAAGTTATAATAAGTTATAATAAGTTATAATAAGTTATAATAAGTTATAATAAGTTATAATAAGTTATAATAAGTTATAATAAGTTATAATAAGTTATAATAAGTTATAATAAGTTATAATAAGTTATAATAAGTTATAATAAGTTATAATAAGTTATAATAAGTTATAATAAGTTATAATAAGTTATAATAAGTTATAATAAGTTATAATAAGTTATAATAAGTTATAATAAGTTATAATAAGTTATAATAAGTTATAATAAGTTATAATAAGTTATAATTATGTGCTCGTTCCAACTATGTGCTGTAAACATATCATTAATTTTAGCAAACTATTATTTAACTATTATTTAACCACGTTTAAACATGTATTATACTATTTACTTCCTATCCGGATATCACATATTTCTTTTACTTGACAGGCTTGCTTTTCGGCTAAGATCGGTAGAACCATCAAATAATGAGTTGAAAGGGTTTTGAGGACACCCCACAGTAGATCAGAGGTATCGTATTCTGAGTGTGACAAAGTTCACGAAATATTGCTTTAAAACCATTCGATCCCTGCCCTTTAACCAATGTTGTATCATAATAAATAATTATTAGTATTATTTACTTCCTATCAGGATATCACATATTTCTTTTACTTGACAGGCTTGCTTTTTGTAGGTTTTGTGAATTATTGTCATAGTTTCTTGAAAACTTGTTCGGTCCCACTAAATCACTCGCCAAGGAATTTCAATTTTGTTACAGAATGGCCCTGAGCATATGAAAATTACACCACTGATGTATTTTTCTACGCTTATTCAACGCTGAATCGGGTTCGAAGCTCTTTGAAGAATTGAATTTGTCGAGATGGCGGACGGAGGTCGAATCAGGAGAAAAAACAAGAATGAAAAACGGGAAGGATACTTGTTGGAGTTTATAAAGAGCACGTGGTATACATTTGCTCTGGGTTTGTTCTTAATTGCTGGAGCGATAGTTTTCATGGGGATTGAAGGGAACCACGAAGAGTTTGTGGCTTACAGACTTTTGGAGGAACAACATGAATTCAACACAACCCTTCGTGAGGTTAGATAGGATTTCTTTTAGAGTGAGAGCAATGCACTATAATATCAATATGGCTACGAGTTCGTAATTTGATAAGTGAATAATTTTAAAACCTTTTTCCGTTTTCTACTCAATTTGAAATATATGACAAACCAGATTGACCGTTTTATTATTTAGGTGCAGTTTGAGTTACCTATTAGTGTTACACTTACAGGTTACATTATAACAATCTTCAGTGGTTCCTAAGTGATAAAGCCGGCGCAGTAAAGCTACGAGACGATCTCGGTTTAAAAGAAACAATGGATGTAAAGTTGTTTAACGAGATATTTGATGGACAATACAATAAGAACTTCACTAACATCCGGAAATTTATGCAAAGAAATTGTTCGCAAGCAAAAAACATTCTTACCTCGTGGAATAAGAAAAATTCGGGAGACGCGTTCAAGTACGCTATCAGCATTATGTCTACTGTTGGTAAGATAATTGATATTTTGTGATCACCCGAGTTAATCTTAATAGTAATATATAGTTTGTAGTTTAATTTATACTGTGACGGGTGACCTCCAGTGGCGTAACGTTGCCTGTTGGCGCCCCCCCCCCCCCCCCCCCCGCCAAAAAAGCGCCCCCCCCCTGTTGGCGCCCCCTCCCCTTTTGGTGCCCCTCCCTAGAATTGAACAAATTAGGTGATTTTAAACTTAGAGGATAACCCGATAAAATCTCTAAAAAAGTGTGTATCCAGAGCAAAACGCGCAGTTTTGCTAGTACTTTAGTTAAGTTTTCGAAATTGTCCCACATTTGACATACGTTGCATGCCACTTTTCGCGCCGAATCCCACATTCAAACGACGATTTGGCGCCCCCCTAAGACGGCGCCCCCCCCCCCCCCCCCCCACCGCACAGCGGGGTCAGCGGGGCCCTTCGTTACGCCACTGGTGACCTCATAGTCATTCCAGATAAATTGTACAGGATATGAGATATTATATCCTGCAAGTTCCTACTAGATATAACTATAATATACTATAACATATAAGCAATAAACACATGATTTACTGACACACTGCAAATAATTAATTAATTGACTGATAATTAATTAATTATATCTTCCAGGATATGGAGTGTTCTACCCTCCTGATGTAACGCTTAGAATTATAACTATTCTTTATTTAATGTTTGGAATTCCTCTTTTCGGTGCACTGATAAGTAAGCTTATATTAATTAACAAATTTTTTCCTTCATATTAAATTTCACATAAACTTTTGAGATTCAAGTTTTTACAAATTCAAACTTATATTAATTAATGCCGGCTGATAATTACATGATTTGAGGGAGCTGGATACATTTGGAATTTGAATCTTCCTTTTGAACCATGACTTCTATTTGTCTATAACACATATAATTAATAATTAATTTTTCTCAAGACCAAATCGTCTGTTTTCTCGACTGGTTTGAAAAGAAGATGGTAACAAAACAATGGGTGAAGAAATACCTTGGCGACGAAACTATCTTTCATACACTCCAACTTGTATTCGTCATCATAGTTGTCTTGCTATATGGTAAGGACCAGTACTAGTACTACAATAAACGATTCTCTGAGTTTTTACAATAATTGATAAAAGCTGTTATTTTTCTGAAATATGGAATTAATATAACAATTTCCAATCTCAATACTGATTTGACGAGTGATGTGAAAATAAATATTCCTAATCCCTTCAGCTGTGATTTGTGATCAGATAGTTGAAGCGGAGAGGGAAAGTAAATTAAAAGACCTCTTAATCGAAGCAGGAATATTTGATGAGTGGCACTTTTTCAATGCTCTCTACTTCGCAGTGCAAACAGTCACTACAATAGGCTTCGGAGACATATACATCTACAGTCCAAAACATGCCCTGCTCCACATAGGTCCTGTTGCTATGGTAATAATGGATGCCTTAATCATAGCACTATTTTCTAGAGTCTTTAACAGATTCCAGGCAAATGTGGAAAAGTCGGCTACCAAGAAGACAGTAAGAGCCAGAAACAGTATTGCGTCAATTAATTTGGGAGTTATGAGAATTAATCGGCAGCCGATTGAAGAGTTGGATGAAATTTCCGAGGAGATTGATGAAATAGTTTGCGAAAGTGACAACTGACAGTTACAAATATCAGTGTAAAATTTTGAATAAATTTGTGTAATAGCATTGTTTTTTAAAGGTCGTACTTTGGTTTCAGCACATGGAAATTTCTAGATAATGAGTCAGCTAAATGCTAAAGAACTTTTAACTTGTGTTGATGAAATTGAAGTCTTAAAGTATTCTTATTTTTTTGTAAACATTTTTATTATAATTCTTCTGTGCCATACCAATCAATTAAAGTAATAGTATTATTGATAGCATCTATTATCATTCATATATCAGCGTGAATATTTTTGGAGAGCGGCCTTTGTTTTTGTTTATGCAGACAGCTAAAGAAATGTTAACTTGTTGATAGTATATATATATTATATACCTATACTATAAGTATAGACACGTGATCGAGACAGTTTTTCGCCGATATCTCGCCAGGGGAGCATTTTAACACTATGTCTTACTTGTATCACGTTGCGACCCCCACGGTCGTTTCACTATGTGAAACTATCGTTCTGACGAAACAGGGGGAGCCGCGCACTTCGTGCGCGGCGGGTCATACAACGTATGACAATGTCTTACTGGGCTGCGCTCAGCCTGTCATTCCGCCGAATCTTTATTATGTTTATGAACATAATAGCCTGAGGTCCCCAGGTAACAGTAACACTATGTCATGTGGGGTGATTTGGAGGTACCGCGACAATTGACCCCCTATGTAATTACATTGGGGTCAATTGTCGCGAAATCTAGGGTTTAGTACGTCAATTGACCCTCCGACAATTAACCCCCTTGTAGCGCGATGCGTTACTGTGCCGCGCCGCGCACTCAATGAGGCTTCTCACACAATGAGGCTTCTCGCTAAATTGGCGACATGCGCTACTGTGCCTCGCCGAGCTGCGATGGGCGAGCAAATTAGTAAAAGCCGCGATGAATTGACATCGTCAATTAATTAACCCCCCGACAATTGACCCCTTATGTTTTTACACTGGGGTCAATTGTCGCGAAATCTAGGGCTAAGTACGACAATTGCAAATTGACCCCCCCATGTACATGTCAATTTAGGGGGTGCACCATAAAAATAAACTTGCTCGGATTTTAAAATTTTTTGTACCACTGTTTTCTATTGACGGATGTTACTCGTCTAAATTTCTTCGAAGTAGCGCGCGCCGCTTTCTTCTCGAAATGTTATGGCCGAAATGGCCCGATGGCAAGTGCTACGAAGTAGCGCGCGCCGGGCCAGATCATTAACAATGGTCAATGTTTTCTAGAGACTGTGAGAATTTTCACAATACCAAATTTGTTATACCTTTTTGGAAAGATCAGTGAGTTTCGCCTAGGTGCCATATTTGATGGTGACGTGCGCGGCTTTTGGAGCAAAATTAGCTGTAAAAGTCGCGTAATTTGACAAAATTTGACCAAATTCGTTGATTTTTGTCGTATTATTTGGATATATCTTCAGTTCCTTGAATTAGATCATTCTGAAAATTGGCGACGACCTTCCAATAGGGCTTTCACAACTGTCCGAAAAATTTGGTGGATATCGGAGTTGATATAGTGATCAAAATGGGGCAAAATACGCTGTTTTTAGCTGTAACCTAATGTCTGATGGTTGGATATGCTTTAATGTTTAAACTTTTCGGACACTTTCCTTGTACGTCTATGAGTAAGCTTACCAATTTTTGTTGCAATCGGAGGTCGGGAAGGATACTTAATGCTTAATATCTAGTTGTTTGAAGAAAATTGTGCTGGCCGAAATTAGCGCTAAAAAACCATCATACAGTCGGCACGCGCGGCTCACTGTCGATGGCGCACTACCTAGTCAATTGTCGGGGGCCGGTCAATTGTCGCCCACCCGATTTGGAATCAGCGTTCAAAAATACATCGATCCAAGGAAGATTCAACTGTCAGGGCCGGGGGCTCTTTTAGAAAAATCTTGGAGATCGAGTGTAAACATTATAGGTTTTTAACCTATAATTATATATTGAAACAAATATTCTAAGAGTATCTGTATAATCACCCGTTAAGTGTAAACATGAAACAGTAAAGTTTAAGTAATTGGTTAGCGCGCTCGGTCTTTTGCAACGTACTTGACCATTGTTAATGGTTTGGCCCGGCGCGCGCTACTTCGAGTTCGAAGAAATTTAGACGAGTAACGCCAAACGCGTACATCCGTCAAGCTGAAGCACCGTTGTCATACGTTGTATGACCGTGGGGGTCACGACGTGATACAAAAGCACCGTACGAATAAAGCTAGTGAAGTAACTTTAAGAAAAAGCAGACTCTTTGTTGGTGTGGATGGGAAGTAAATGATGTTGTAAATTGTATCACTGAACTGCTTACTCGACTTTCAGTTTCACTCAATTTCTAAAGTAGATTTTTTACTCGTGCCCAAGTGAAAATCGGTTTTTCTGAATTTTTTCCAAAAATAGACATTTTGTGCTTTCATGACCTTCATAGTACCAATATAAACATGTGCACTGCGGTCATTTTAAACTCAAGTTTGAGTCTCTAAGACCTTCAGAAGCTGAAAGTGAAATACATATTTCCCATATACCTGACATGAAATATGGGCGTTGCCCCACAGGGTTGGGACTAGCGACACAACATGCGCTCCTCGGTGATTTGAGTAACCAATGACCTATTTAACCATTACATATCCAGTGGCAAACAACTTTATACACCGAAGTGCAGTGCACACTCAACCTCTCCCTGCTACTGGAGTATATGGAAACTTTCAAAAAATATGTAGCTTTTCAAAATATTTAATACCTTATACAATAAGACGATTCTTACCACAATATGCATGTGCGATTAGTTTTATTAGAGGTATAATTTAAATTTACATCATATTTTAATAATAAATGAGAAGCACATGAAAAATTATCGAGGCCTGAGGAAAATTGTTGTTGTGATATAAAAGTCGATTTTAGGACGCAAATATCTTGTTTCACTAAATCACAAATTACATCACCTTAAACATTTCATCTCACCACGCACACGTGACACCGATAGTATAAGTAAAACAACTGATTACAAAAGTAAAAACAAGAAAAATAAATGAACAATTATTCAAAGAAAATGATCAATTCAGGATATCATAACCACAACATATTCAATATTCATACAGCTACAGGGTGTCAGTGAACATGAAAATGATACTGCATAATATTATATTATTATTGCATAATATTACAAAAACAACTAAAATGTACAAGTGTGCCTCCATAAGAGCACGCCAAGGCCTTCTTTAGAATTACAAAACACTATCGAAACTCTGTAGTCAGAAAGTCAGGAGATGAATTCGATAAGCCCAACACAAACAGTCTACTTAGTAAGTGAATACATTCTACAAGCTACTGTAGCTACAAATATTAAATATTTGTACCGTTATACTCAGACCCGTACTACCCTATAAAAATCGCCCCTCAAATTGAATTTAGAAATTGGGGACTGCTCTGGAAAAAAGAAACATATAATTTGAGCAAATAATTGTATACTATAAAAAAACTTTAAAGCTTCCGTGTTACCTTATTAATCTAAATAGCATACCCAAATAATAAATCTGTTAAGATGTGCACATTACTCAAAACGCAAAAAAAAATATTTAATTTCAAAAGTCTCACTTGATATAAACTATAAACAGTCTATCAAATAACACGTTTCACTTTCACTTTCACTTTCATATCTGATAAGAGATTACCGGACGAGAGCCTGGCCCTTACTGACGCTACAGTAAGAGTCAATCACATTCAAAACGCCAGAATAGTCCATCGTCTTTGGGAGTGTGTTAAGGACTTGGTTCTTGTTTTTCCCTTTTACGCTGCCGATACCCAGTCTTTTGCGCAGCTTGGGTGATGTTATACACTGAGGAAAATAGCGATCAAAGTCACATTCATTTTTTAACGTTAACGTTCAGCGTGCAATGTGGTGACACCTTTTAGAATTTAAAACACTAAAATGATCAGTGATGCAAAGCTCATTACACATTTAAACAAGAGATAACAATGATCAATTATCATTATCAAGACCAGGCTTAACAAAGTCCCACCTCTATTTTAATCTTGGCGGGTTGGGCAGGTCTCAAAAACTTTATAGACCATGGCTTCATGTTGGGTAGTTCAGCGTACACTGGATTTGTATTCGTTCCTCCACCTGTTACGATAGGACGATTAAAGGATTAATTAAAAATTATTTTATTTGATTACACAAATAAATTATTCAGTAAATTAATTCAATAATTATGGTGTGTTTCGATGTCTAATTCAACAATGACAATATTTGTTGAGAGACTTAACAGTACAAATTGCTCGACTGCGAGAAGGAACGATCTTCAAAGGAAACTCTAGACAGCACGTTTTATTGGTAATTACCTTTGGGGAGAGTGGGTTTCTGAGCCATGTTGGCAGATATTTCACACCATCTGTCCTTATCTCTCAAACTGTGAACATTAGCTGAACCGTAGAAGTCTCCTCCTGAGGAAAAGCGTTACTAATGTTAACATTGTTAACATTGTTATCATAGTACTGCCGTTTTCTGACAAAAGTGCTTAAGTAACATTTTGGAAATTTCGGGTTTTTTGGTCTTGTTGGCCAGGTATTGTTGACTGCCGAACGTGCTTGAACTATGCAGTCCACAAGCGGGAGTACAGAGAGGCACGCGACGACAGCATTACGAAAAGGACCGGGGCGAAAATCCTCAATGTTCATTCTCGGTGGACATGGAGAAAGTCTTGCTACTACCTCACATGCCACAGTACAAAGAGGCTATATTCACTTGGAGGCTGGTGACATTTAATGAAACATTTGCTAGACTGGGGTCTGATAGCGCCCCATTAGCGATAATATGGCACGAAGCTATTGCTGGGAGAAAAGATGAGAACGTTTCTTCAACCTGGGTGAAAGCTATAAGGTATTTTTCTGAAGGGAGGATTGGTGAAAGCCGGGAAATCATTCTGTGGGCAGATAATTGTTCTGCGCAGAACAAATGCTGGACACTTTACACCGCATTATGTTCACTCATAAACAGCCCTGACCTCGAGCTTGATAAAATAACTGTAAAATATCTGGAGCCAGGCCATACATTCATGAGCGCTGACTCATTTCACCACAAAGTGGAACTGTCCATCAAACAGTGTGGACAGCTTCATAACTATGAGGACTTTGTTGATGCAGTAGCAAAGGTCGGTACTGCTGTGTCTATGGCATGTTCTGACTTCCATTCGTGGCCCAGGTCATATGGGACGAGCAACCGCTGCAAAACCGAACGGCCACTGCTCGAGATGGTGAAGGTCGTTAGGTTTCAGC